TTTCCCCCCCCCCCCCCCCCCCCCTTTACACCCCTGATCCGACCCATTCCGCAATCCACAATCGTAAATCCTGAACTACAATCTCCAATCGCTCAGCTAGGCGTCTCGCGTAGAATTTTCCCCCTTTTGCGGGGTGCGGTCCCTTGTTCTGGGTCCAGGCACATAATAGGAATAGTTATACCGAAGTGCTGTATTTGCGGGTGCGGCCCTCGTTTCAGCAGGGTGCTTCCATGCAAAACCCTGAGATGGGACATGACAAGATACTTCTTTAATATATATATATATATATATATAAGCAAAGTAAGCCACTCCCGTATGTTGATGTGGCTTTGCAGAGCTCATCATCCCTACATAACTATTAGTGAATATCTCCGATCTTTGATGAACCAGTTTCTCAAAATAACTGCAAAAGGGGAACTTGGATGCTGCACACGCATCTAGGTGTACCTATAGTTGTCAAAAAGACGATGATCAAAATAGTGTGTGTTGGAGAGGCATGTATGCACAGCACAAGTTGGATTGAAAAAAAAAAAATGGAAACTAGAGAATTCAATAAATATTTCAAGGCAATGTCCATGAATGATCTGCAATGCTTCACAAAACATGCTATCGAATACCCTTCAAGCAGATATGCTCCATCCTTGGGATACGAAGTCGCACGCGTTGTGAAATTATATCATATAAATAGTCAGTGGAACTATGTGAGATCATCACGAATATTTTTGTTTCTCCCCGAGTAACATGGCAACCCAAAGTGAAACACTTTCGTTGATTTTGAAGCTATGAGCTCAAGTGTATGTCGATCGGCGTTTCTCATTCAAAATAATAATAATAAAAATAAATAAACCAAGCTTCTCTTGTGAATTTAGCAAAGACTCCTTGTGGAGTAGTTAACTGCAGCGGAATCATGACTGGAATAAAACCCTTGTGCAGTCACACAACCATACATCATATTCACTTGCTATGACGATAAGCCCGCCGTTTTTCCTATTTGGTGTAAATTTTATCCGTCCACGGAGAGGTATTGAGTCAATAATACTTCAATATTGCTCTGATTGCCCTGCAAGATTATCTCAATGCAGTTCTTTCTATTATACATTTTATATACATCATCTATTTCATGCATGGCTGAAAGGCAAAGTTGTGGCAGAATGGAGATGACAGCAGTCACCCGAGCGGGCTATGGCCTCCAGAGCAGCAAGTAAAATCTCTGGAATCAATGAGCTCTTTAACGATTCCGAGAATACGGGCAATCTAGATCACGTGCTACTCTGGGCCGACCGTCAACAGCCGGTCGTGATGTTAGTGTTGGACGGCTATTGGCAGTCCCGTAGAAGGAAACCCAGGCTCCAACAGTTCGAAACTACCTGGCACAAAGGCCCAATCGGCCAGTAGTAGTCCTCGGATGGAACTCAGGACGAGTACAATTCCATAGGAGTCGCCTTGATGCCTAACACTTAACCCATCATCCAGTTATTAGCTAATCCCTTTCGCCCGTTCAATTCAGGTGACTATGATTTGTCACATGTGAATTACAACTAATTCCAAGTTTTGGCATGTAGAGCTACAGAGCTCCGTGCCAAGTCAAACTCTAATTAAGCTTAAATTCACAGGAAATTGATACAAATCTTAGTATTTTTAGCACTGAAGAAAGATGTGCAATTTGTCTCCGTGCTTTCTCATTATGATGACAATGATGTAAAGAACGCTCTCGTATATTAAGGGAAATAATGACTTTTTATCTATTCGTATCTACGTATTCTGAATGTTGTCTCGTGTCTAAATGCGGAATGAAAAGAACGGGGTGTCATGGTGGTGGTGATTGCAACATAGCAGAACGAAGCTGGGGAAGGGGGGACGGATGCATTTTGAGATCGGCAGCTTCTGGTGGGTAGTTGTGAGGTGGCTGAAGAGGTGGTATCTGCTCTTCGGTTGTGGTAGATGATTTGAAGTTTCCCAAAGGAGTTGGCTGAAGGGACAGAAGTTGGTTTCTGCGAACAATCTAGTGTTTCTGTATCTCTAGTTTTAAAACAGAGGCGACAATCTTGTTTTAAAAACTGAAATGAGCATGAATGAGAAAGCAAGACCTCGAGATCCAACAAAATATCGCCAACGCTATCCAGATCTAAATTAGCGTATATCAATCCTTCGAGGTTTTTTTTTTTTTTTTTTAAAAAAAAAAAAGGCCGAGGAAAAGAGCCCTCTAACACCTGTCATAAGAAAATCATAAGAAAATCATAGGAAACGCCAGAGCAGGAAGAACAAAAACCTATTATACCCTTTGCGCCTATATATAGCGAACCAAAAATCAAAAACTGAACAAGCCACTCCTCCTTTTCCCAAATGGATAAATTACCAATGCTGCCATAAATAACCCCACTGTAATGCCTATCGAAACCTCCAACATGCCATAGGCAATATCAAAAACCACATTCCCCAAGAATCTTTGCAGCATGATATGCCGCATCAAATCATTCAATCCCTTAGATGTGGACGGCGACATAGCGGACTTAACTATCCAGTCATTTGCCACAGTGCTCAGTGGTTTCGACGTGGTCGCATCATCCTTAATGGTGGTCGCAACGATCAGACTAGACACGAGACTGCCACTAGTGGCCAGACCTGAGGGGAGCTGCAACAAAATGGCGGGTAGGATAGCTGCAGCGGCAAGCCCGTGTCGCAGCCGGCTGTACAAGTTACCTATGACGCCGATGGCGAAGGCGCCCAGAGCACTGGAAAGCTGGGTAGACACGAACCGGCGTGCGGAGAAGAAGCTGACAATGTAGCCAGTGAAAGCGATAGCGACCATGATGGGAATTTGTTTATATTTTGCCTGATAGATCAGACATGAGCAGATTACATAGATGATCACAAAGGGGAAACGTTGGATGTATTCATTCTTGATGGGACTGGCAGGGCAGATGAAGTCCAACGTAGCGTGTGGATCCAGGAGGCCGTAGAAGGCGGTGCCAAGCATGATGCCGAAACCGAGGAAGAGAGAGTAGATGATAGCGTAGACCATACGGACAGAGCCAGCAATAATGTTGCGCGACTGCAGCTCCAGCGCGCCGCAGAGGACGATGTAGCCTGGTAAAATTAGAACTATGGACGACTGAGCCAGAGCTGCGAAACAAAAGAGGTGTTCTCCATGTCGTAGTTCAATGCTTCCTAATGCCCGTGCAAGGAAGGAGGTGATGACGGCAGCGGAAACCTCGAAGACGTTGGCGTAGTTCTCGGAGCGCGGGGCGAGAACATGCTGAAGTAGAGCAACAATACAGCCGAGAACAAAGCATAGAGGCATGTCGATTGGTCGTGCGCCAAATGCGAATGGCCCAACCAGAGCGCTTGCGCAACCATACAGGGGTATCAGCCACCGGACGCCAAACTTGGGTTGAGCTTTGGTAATTTCGTCTAGCCTCTGCATGGCCTCCTCGACGCCAATGACATCGTGAACGACCTCCTTGTACACTACCTGGATGTCACGGAGACGGCCCAGGTTGACATGTTGTGATGACTTAATCAATTTTACCTCTGTGACGTGCGTCGTGTTGTCGTCAAAGGCCATAACCATAACACCAGGGATGTATAGAAATTGGCCATCTATCTCCAGCACTCGAGCAGTCATTCGCATGTATTCTTCCAGTCGATGAGTAGGTGCTCCAGACCACATCAGTGCGCGACATAGCTTGACCAGATATCTCTGGCGCGCCAGAGTCTCCGCAATATGGACTGTGAGCCGGATCTCTTCCTCAAGTCGAGGTTTAGAACTTGTTTTACTTTTTTTTGCAAGATTGTTGCACCCTCCGCTCGACATCTGTCTCCCCGCAGGTGACGTTTGCCGCAATCCCCTATTTGGGGAGGCTGAATTAAGGGAGCATATGGATTGACTGGCAGACTTGTTATTGTACCATTTTTGTCTTCGTGGACGGCCCGAATTTTTGCGGTTCGGCGACAATGCTCTGCTTGGAGGCTGAGGAAAAGGATATTTGATATCTTTCTGCTCTAGTTGCTCAGTCTCACGACCACTATACATCCGGAGCAACGACGATAGTATCCCACCCCTGTAATGCGACGGTCGGGCAACATAAACATCGGGGTCTCTGTCTGCGTAAGGGGTACTGTGGCCGGAGGCTAGATCGTCACTTCGTGCAAGAACTCTGGTAAGACGGTGAGAATCTTGTCGCGACATTCCTCGAAATAGTTCGGCAGCCTCAGCCTCAAATTGGCAATCATCAGAATTGTCATTATCAGAAATGTAAGCTTGCTTTTCCAACATATCTAAGTTATCGTAAAATTCCGCCTCTCCTTTCTCGCTCGCAGAATCGGCATCACGCCGACGCCGGCGAGAAACCTTTCGAGAGCCACCACCTCGTTCATTGATCTGTGATGGATGTCGATGAATGACAGAGGCCGCCAGCCTCTGAGCTCTCTCATAGGCACCATGCAAAGCCCTCCCCTTTTTATCAGCAACTCCCTGCCCATGAATCCCATCATTATCTACAAGGTTCACTATGCTGCCAACCGATCCACAGACGCTCGCAGGCGTTGAGCCACCTGAATACGGCTGTGGAGAGAAAAAACCTGGCAAATCATCTGACATCTCAGCATGTTGTTCCTCTATTGCTTCTCCATCTGGCTGCTGTTGACAATAAGCAACTTGCGGGATTTGAAGAAGGTTCCTCTCAATATCTGATCCATTTTGAGTCGCTTGAGACTGGTGTGATTGTGACGTATCTCCGTCAACTGTAAACTTCACTCGGTTTATGAGACGAGATCGTGGGCTGGCAACGGCCCCTTCGCTGCTGGAACGGACATGGGAAGCAGAAGCTCGTGAGGAAGGACTGTGAGCTGGAGTTCTACAGAGAGTAGGTAATGGGATAGAGGGTGCTCTACCCCTTGTGATTTGTGAGTTGAAAGAGTGGTCCCGGATTTGGAATTTGGTATCGCTCATATCTTGAGGCATTGAGCTAGGCGTCTCTCGCCTACAATCGGTAAATCTGAACCCTGAACGAATGATACACGAATCGAAGGAGTAAACGAAATAATAGGCAAGGCAAAAACGAAGATCTCATAAAACACTTGAAAAATTGACAATCAACATAAAAGAAGGGGGTAGGGAAGGGTAAAAAAATGCGTCCACTTGTGGCCACAGCAGAATCTAAACATTGGTTCTAGAATCCAAACGTCATTTCAGATGAAAACTTAAAATCATGACAAATTTATCTAAAATCAGGTAGCTATAGTGGTAAGGCAAACCCAATTATAGTAACAACAAGCAAGAAACAAAAATTCAATTGAGGTTGAGGTGTGGCGATTTGATACATAAAGTTAAGATTGAAGGATATCCTGGTACGAATGGGGGAGGAAAAGTTTAAACGGAACTCAATATCACTCAACCCCGCAACTAAATAATTAGCTCAAGCCGCAGTAGTTGAGTTCCAGTGATTGTGAAATGGAGGATAAGAGCAGGCTATTAATACTAAATCGAAAAGTCATCACGCTCTGCCCTTTGACCGTGAAGATGTTGTTGACAGCTGAAACACGTATTTCTCTTCAAAAAAAAGGTAAAACCCGCAGTTGGCAGCGGTTTCGCCACAGGGCAAACGAGTGGGTTCAAGTGACGAAATAACATGGAGGTTTTAAAAGAAGCTGGGTATGGTTAGTAAATTGCATCACGGATAAAAGAGAATAATAAGAAATTCAAACGACGGAAACGGTTGCTAAAAGGATAAATGAGAGATAATATAATAGGGAGAACACATAAAAGCGAGAGCCAAGGGAATCAGAGAAAAGCCAAACAAGGCCGAAATGGAAGAGTCATGCCAAATAGAAACAATATAGCCTTGGGGACCCTGCCATCCAATGAATATTCACTGGAGGAGCATGGCCGATGTGTATACACACCATGCAATATCAGATCCTACCACCCTTCATTTTCATAAAATTCCACAATGCCTTGGCAGTCTTGAATCGTGCTTGGAGCACACCAGATCGTACAGGGAGACCTTGCAGTGATTGTAATGCGTAAAAAAATAAAATAAAACGTAGAGAAACTTGACACTAACAAGTTGGGTAGACGCAACTTCAGCAGAGCTATTCCCTCAAGCCAATTGTGGAGACATAGATAGGTTCCGCTGGAACCTGGTCCAATGACCCATAAAACACGAGCTAGAACCAGGAAGCGAGATATATCCCGTGTTGGTGAGGAAGCTATTTTCTGTGAATCATAGCATGTAGATGCAACGTATAATATCTCTCAACATGTGTTTGATTGCATACGTCGAGTTAAGAACGTCTCCAGGCAAAATCAGAGAAACTTTTTTCAATGGCAGTGAGATAATTAACAGACTTCGCTTCTGGAACGTGTTCTCGTTGTTGTTTTTGTTTGCTCTTTTTCTAAACTTTAAGTGATCATAGGCTGTTTCACGAAAAATCTGAAATGGATCTTCGACATGGATCGAATATTGGCACAGGTGACAGTTGGCACTGCTACGTCTCCTGTTTTGCCGCGTGCCACGCTGGTTAGCCCTGCCATGATGATGTTCTCGAAGGGCTGTGGAAGGAGTTTAATAGTGGGCCTTGGTGGTTTCTAGAGACCTTTCCCTAATGTCAAAGCAATGGCTGTACCTGATTCCCGTCTGTTCGTTGGTTGGTTTGGAGCCTGTCATTGATGTTGATGTTGAGGTTTGAGGTTGAGGTTGACTAACCAGTTAAATCACAACCCCTGTAAAACTAACATCCACTAGTTAAGTTATATCTCACACCCGTCTCTCACACATCTCCATATGCCATTTGATGGGTAATGATTTTACCATATTTCTCCAGTCCCAGATTACATTCTTATTACTAAATCCACCTCTGTTAATTTCAGTGCATTGTCATATGATATCATTTTTCAAAACTGATAAGTAAACAAGGGAGGAAATGTTAAAATACCCCCTGAGAAACCCTTCCCGCAGCGTCGTTTACAAGATTTCTCATTCTTCATCCCGATCTAAGTTAGCTCACCAGGATCTCACCAACTATAACCCCTTGCCTCTACACCCCCTCACCAAACTCATAAGCGAACGGACAACATAACAGGGGAAGCAAAGGGGGAGAAGCAATCGGAACCCCATACCGACCCTTTTTCATATGATTAATTACCCGATAGCTAGATATCCCAGGCAAACGCTATAAGCTCATAACTTGAAAACGAGTGATCCCATTCCAGAGCGCAGATAGTCGCCATTCATCAAAACACTTTCTTTTCGTTAGGGATCACCCTATGGGATTGAACTCATCCCCTTTGTTCAATAGTTGTAGACTTCTGGCTATCGGGCTTTTTACCTTCTTCCTATGAACCTGGTTGCTCCAGAACACGTGATGTGACCATAGGAGAAGAAGAGACCGAAATTCCTACAACAGCCCAAAATGAAGACCCAAGCTACCGTTTCGCCATGGATTCACCGAAGTTAGTTGGCTAGAGAGCCAGCTATGTAGGTATTCTTTATATTATATCAATATATCGATACACTGCGTAATGTCATATCGTAATTTTATCTTCCCACAATCCGCGGTAGGTATATATCTCATCGGTTCATTCATCATTCCGAAAAAGTAGCACAACAACAGAGGGCGGGAAATGGCAGCAAAGTGATAACGAAAAGCCGAAGGTTTCTTAGAAGGTAAATGAGAAAGAAGGGAAGAAAAGAGAAAGGAATAATAAAAAGAAAAAGAGGGTGTGAATCACCCTATTAAAAATACAACAGAACAGAAGAGGAAAAAATTAATGAATAAAAAATAAAAAACCCCTACCGTACCGAACCCTCTCTACCCTTCAATCCCATCCCGATCCATATACTCAAACCCGCCCAACCCCTGCATCCCCTCCACCCTTTCCGCTCCGGCCTCCACAAGCCTCTTCACAACCGCCCCCTTAAGCACCCAATACCCCTCCAACTCCATCAGAGGTGTCCTCCCGCTTAAGTCCTTACAATCAGGTTCCGCGCCTGCCGCCAACAGCGCCGCCACGATGCGCTCTTGGTGGCGGGACTCGACGTTACGCGCTGCGTAGTGGAGAGGGGTGGCACCGCGCAGGTCACGGGCGTTAATATCTGCGCCGTGAGAGATTAGGAGGTTAATTTTTTGAGTGATGGGGTTTGCAATTGCTGTCATTGTCGTTGTTGCTGTGGCGGTGGTGGAGCTGGTGGAGCTGGTGGCGCTGGGTGAGGAAGGTCTATCTGTCGCGGTGGCGTTGGATGTGGAGGCGATGAGGTGCAGTGGGGTTGCGCCTGTGGCGTAAGTGGGTGTACGCGGTTTTGCGCCGTGGGAGAGGAGGAAAAAGACGCGGTCTGGTCCACTGTGTTGGGCCGCGTAGTGCAGCGGGGTGGAGAGGATGGTTGGCTTGTTAAATAGGTCTGCTGTCGCTGCATGAGCGGTATCTTCGCCGTCGTTACCAGTATTGGTATCAGCGACATTTTTGATAGCACGTTCCGTGACCTGTTTCAACAACTCCGTATCCCGCTGGAAACAAACGGCGTCCAGCACTGTATCGCCCTGGTGATTAGCTGAATGAACATCCGCGCCATTCTCAAGCAGGAGCGCAATGACATTGCGGTCAGGAGTCCGCATGGTGCAGCAACGCAACAGCGGCGTGGAGCCCCATTTATCACGCGTGTCTACGGGAATACCAAGTTTGAGTAGGTACTTAGCCATCGTGAGGCGCCTGTGTGTAATTTCCGTGCCCGGATTGTTATGGCCTGACAGGAATATGAGAGACAAACCATCGCCATATATGCACGCTTCATGTAACACCGTATTTCCGTAGCGATTATGTGCTTCCAGATCCGCACCTTTCTCCGCAAGAAGTTTTATTATGGGTAAAGCAAAGTCATCACCTCCATCTTCATATGTATCTGTGATCTTCAACCAGTGGTTCAGCGCACAGTGTAATGGCGTGTTCCCCTCATTGTCCGTAACATTGATATCTGCGCCGTACTTGAGCAGATTTACAATCAGTTCCTGATCCCCCTGTGAAACTGCATGATGCAAGTCCGTATATCTCTTGTGGAGGACCATGTTCACCTCCGCACCCCTACCAATCAGCCTGCGCACAGCATCGTGCTGATTCAGATGCATGGCCCACTTGACAGCTGTCCAATTTGTCGAGTCCCTCATATCAACAGGTGCTCATCGCAAGCCTTGAGTATAATGCCAATCTCTCTTTGCGCCGCTGCAAGGGTAGCCTGGACAAAAAAATTGTTGGTGTGCAAGGTCTCTTACTCCCGTCATGCATGAGGAAGGTGTTTTGGGGTGTTCGATTCGTCAGGAACTGCCGTTGCGTAGCTCATCCTGTCGTGATATCTGTGGGGCTGCGGTCGCTTTTCGCTCTCCCCGCCTTTCACCTCATCGACTCCACAGATAACGTTACCCTTACCTTACCTTACCTTGCCCATTGCCCATGCCCTTGCTGGCAGTATCCATAATTCCCCCCCACTTCTTCTCATTGTCGTCATCCTCCAGTATATTGGCAGGAAATAGGTAAAACCCTATTTTCCTTGGCTGAACAATCGGAAGGCCCTGGATCGCGGGATTCAGATTCCCGACGACACTTCGGTATTCGGGTGGTGGAACAGCCGGTTTTTCTTGTGGGTCGGCATCTTCGCCATCGCAGCCCAACAGCCTAAACAGACGAAATCTAGCCATCTACCAAAGCACTTGGAAGCAATAGCAGACACACGCGATTGGCGGGTGCACCAAGGTAGGTGTGCGGTATCCCAGCTGGGCGGTATTATTGTAATGTTCCAAGTGCTCGAACCGAGGATCAGATGAGAGGATGAGATGGATGACAAAGTAAGAATCTCACACAAGGGAAAAAAGGGGGAAGGAACCCAGCGTGCTGGAATTATTTAATTGGGAAGGAAGGACGGGCACCGTCGCGCCCTAGGCGTTGTTGGGCTTAGAGCTCTCGGATGCCTGCACCAGCCATGCGTTGGCAGCCGTGGGCTTGGCCTGGAGTCAGTCTGTGTGGCATCAAACAACAACCACGACTTGCGAGGGCCGGTGCAGGAAATGAATGGGTTGATTGGATTGGGGGGGCGCACCAGTGAGGACTGACCATACATACGTTGGGTGTGATGGTGATGGGAGTAGTAAGTAGCGCCACAACAATCGGGAAACACAAGCAACGTGATTAGCTATAGCAGATTTGGATGAATGAGTGTATCCAATCCAGAGAGGTTGCGGGGATTGTACGGAGTAACTATGTGTGCGGATAATATTTTTATCGCAAGTCGAAGGAAGCAGCTAGGGAGGTACAATATCTTTATCCCGAGTAACAACAAAGGAGGAGAATGCATCTGTGCATGTTCCATTTCTTCTGCACACGCATACATGCACTCGACCAACATTTTCCTCGCTAATTGACCAGAAACCAACTATAATCAAAGATGATCTCAATATTCAACACACTCTGTATCAAGTCTATTAATTAGAAAAAGCTCTCAATTATTCTTAAACTAACTTAGCGACAGTTCAACAAAGTGAGGGGGGGGGGGGGGGGAAGAGAGGTTAAAAAAAGTTGTTCTCAGAATAGCTCTTAAAACACTTCAATCTCGTCCTGTCTTGTCCTGTTTCTTCTTGAAACCCTTCAACAATAGCTGATAAAGTAGAAGGTGGGGAAGTAGTGTATAAAGAGAGGGAGAGAGAAGAAGGAAAATGTACATCAAAATTTTCAAACAGAGTGAGAGAAGGAATGGAAGAAGACATAAAATTATCAGGACAATGTAAAGGCAACAGCTTGTGTCTTGTTTTGATTCTTCTCGAGTGTTATTTTCCCTTGATTTTTTTTCCTTTCTTGTTTTCAATCCCCCATTTCCTCACCTCCATAAAAAAGAAATAAGTAGTGGTCACAACTAAAAAGCGTCAAACCACATCATCGAATGAAAGTATCAAATCAATCAATGAATTCACATTTCGTTAACAATTTCTCAAAGCTGCTAAAGTGCGGAGCTGGAAAGCGTAGTAGTGTAAAAGGCGTGAAGAAAATCGGGGCAAAGTAACAAGCACTGCTGATATAAAAGGCCAGTAGTTAGAAGTTTCAATAAGGGAACCGCTTCCCATAAAAACAAAAGGCTAACGGGCGGTAAAATTTTGCCTCATTGCCTCCCCCCGTTGACAAAACAAAACGGTGGGTAGAAACAGAAGAAAAAAAAAAGGTTGGTAAAAAAGTATATAGGTTAAACGGGAGGGAAAAAAACCCATTGCGAAACTATGAAAAAATTGACGAGTGATGGATTTGCCAACCCCCAACCCCCAACCCCCAACCACCCCCCCCAAACCGAATGAAACAAGAGAATGAAAGAAAAATAGGTCAAGAAAAACAAAATCCAGCGTAGACAAAGGAATACCCAACACACCGAGTTCAAATTCCCACCACATCAAGATAAGACAAGAGATAGCTACCCTCAATTAATCGGATTCTTCCGCTTCTCCGCACTCGAGAAAACAAACATAGGCATCTTGCGTCGTCCACTACCAGTATCACCACCCTGGTTCAAAGCGGTAGGAGCAGTATGGCCAGCCACAACAGCTGCCACCGTCAACGGGTGGGCCTGGTGCTTCATTGTTGCCGGAGGGATAGCAGTAGGAGCATGAGCATTGCAATGCAAATCGGAATCATCTGAGCCAATTTCCATTAGCTTCCCACCCAAGGGGCTCTCATCCCTACCCACAGCCGCAGTAGTGTTCAGGCTATCCGTCGACACACGGGTGCGAGTGACGCTGGTGCTGGTGTTGATGTTCTTCGGAATTGTGCTTGCGCTATTGGTCCTTGACACTGTCCACTCCCTCTCAGATCCAATAGCACCATTTGCTGCAGCTCTGATACTCCCCAAACTCGGTTTGCTCGACAAGCTTCCCCTACAGCTATGAATCCCACTGCCACCAGACTCATCTCCATCAGAACCCGAGCCAGAGCCCGAGAAATTAAATTCCACATCACTGGAGGGCGTCATGCTCCCCGCGCTACCGGTATGCAAGGAACTTCGAGACTCTCCGCGCCTCTCCAACCCAGCCCTCACTAAATTGTGCACAGCACGACGTCGTTGACGCGTCACGAAATTCTTACTCCCTTCGTGCTTGGAGGTGGGCTTTCCAATGAGCTCTTCAAGAGAAGGAGGTCCACGGGGTTGCCGGATTGGGTGTTCACCGGCACGAGCCTGGCCGGGGCCGAAGGTACCAGTGAGTGGAGTGGGTAGCGGTGCGTTTTTTGGGGAGGCTTTGTTGAAGTCGCCGCTAGTTTTAATAGGAGTGACGAGTGATGGTACCTTTTTTGTGGTTGCGACGGAAGACATTGGCGGACGGTGGGGGTAGAGGCGCAATTTCCGGGGGAGGGGAGGGGACAGTCCGAGGAGGGGATGGAGAGGGGAGGTAGCAGATTGGAGATTGTCTAGATTCTGGAGGAGGTGATACTTCGGCGCAAAAGGTTGGAGTTTCAGCTACGGGAGACGGGAACGATTCTTGATAAGAGGTGGAAACAAGTTCCTCCTGCTGCATGCTGTTGTCCATGACCAAGTTATGTTGTCCGGTCATGGGGTTGTAGACCGAGAACAGACCAGGATGCCCAGGCACAGGCTGCACAACGGGCTGCATGCCCTGTTGGGCCTGTTGCAGGTAATAGCTCATCCCCTGGATGCTTGGTGACATCCTCTGCTGCTGAGCTTCATTTGGAAGGCCTCCAAGGTTCAAGCCTTGGAACTGCTGTGCGGCAGCTGTGACAGAAGCCAGCTGTTCCTGAAGACGTTGCTGCTGGGCAGCAAGAAATAGATTTGTCGAAACGAGTTCCGCATAAAGCTTTTCGTCGATCGGCTGTCCATTTTCGTCGACTGGGAGCTCAATTGTCGGGGGAGAAAGAACATGTTCCGGCAAAGAATACATTTGATGCCTTGTAGGCTGTTGCACCCCATACATATTATTGTGATTATTGACGTACGGAAATGACACTCCTGTTGAGGTCATGGGTGCCCTTTGGGAATAGGAAGCGTGTTGTTGAGCACCATATCTTGTGTAGTCAAGGGGTAAACGGGACATTGGGCGGGACAGAGGAGCAGTGGCCGGTGATGGGGAGTGCTTTGGAGCAGTTCTTAACCCCGCGAGGAGATGGCCGCGGCTCGTGCGTGGAGTTGAAACGGTGGGGGACGGTGTAGACTCGTTAATGGTTCCGATCTTTGATGGGTGCGGAACACTTAGACGTTTGATATGAGAACCTTTTCCACGAGATGCGAAACCAGAACCCGGAACTCCAAGAGAACCACCATTGAAAGCCATGTTGTTGTAAGTCATCTGAGCTAGACTGCCAGCGTCCATACTCATGGTCGTGGAAGGAACTGGAAAGGGAAAGAGAAAGAGAAATCAAAGCAGATATACTTTATATATGCAGATACGTTTATTCGTAGTAGCAGGGCGATCTCCGAGACAAAACGAGTTGTGTTGTTTGTATTGTATCTGAGATAGTCTGTACAAGGGGGTTGATGGCTTGTGAACTAGGGAGAAGTCGTGGATATAGTTGGTTCAGGTGGAAGGTGTCAACAAGGCTTGGCTTAAATTTCAAGTTTAATTGACGAAGAACTGTTGAGTCCAACTGAAGGGGATTGTCCACGTCAGGAGGGAGCGGGTTTTGAAGTAAATTAAGAGATTAAGAAGTTAGTGTTCTAGGAACAACACTACAAACGGGTCCAGCGATCAGAGAGTAGTGTTGCCTCGGTCGAACGATTCGATAGAAGCGGCTGATTGTTCGAGTGAAAAATAGTAACAGAGAAATCAAAAAAGACAATTCTGTCAAGAGGGAAGTTGATCAGCATCGGGTCTAAGAGCTGGATGAAGCACACAAGTGATATAAGTTGAACATACCAGAAGAAACCAAGTTGAGATCCAGAAGAAGGGATCGCAGAGAATTAAAAAAACATATACAAGCGAATATAGGTCTGCTAGACAAGCTGATATAGTGAATGACAGCGGTGCCAGAGGTCCGATAAAGGAATGAGACGATAGAGTTATAATAGCTGTAATGGCGTGATGGGTTTTGGCGTGGAAAAATTGAAGGAAGGTTAACAAATATAAAGCGTTGTCCAACGGGAGTGTGGACTTGGGGTGAAGGTTGTTGGTTTCGTGTATGTAGGAGTGAATGATTTTGGCGATGAAATTTGCACTGCAAATTCAACAAGGAGCGACCTCAGGGCAAAAAACTGAACGTAGTCTTTTGTTTTGTTTCTTCTCTCGATTTCTTCTAGGAAAGTTGAAGACGACCAAAGACGCACGACGGTGAAACTGGCTTTTGCTTTCTTTTCTTCTAGAACCACGATGGTAAATGTATAAATGGATGTCGAGACAAAGATTGAGTCCCGCTAGCGAGGGATAGCGCTGAAGAGCAAAGACAAGAGGTGAATATTAAGAGCGGGATTTCAACCGACGAAGGCGAAAGACGACGCGATCTAACGGGAAAGATATATAAAAAGCTAGAAAATGAAGAAAAACCGGTAATAAAATACGATATACGATGTACGGAAGAATTGATTCGAAAAAGAAAATGAGGTCCTTGCTTCTCCTTCGACAAGAAATGAAAATAAGAAGCGATTTTTATGCTACCGTATCTTCACTTCCGTTCAGTGTCAAGTCTTTTTTTATTTCTTTCTTTCTTTAACCCGCTCCGGTAATAATTGGACTTGGGAGGGGCTGATAATAGGGACCAAAAACTGTGGTCAAAAGGGGACCTTCGATGTTGCGTGGTGTAAAGGAAGAAGCAAAGGACTTATTTTCCCTTCCGGGAGGGGGGGAAGCAAAGAAGGCTAAAAGAAGGCAGTCGAGAGAGGAGGGGCGTTGTGAAGGGTAACAGACACGGGAGGAATCGGACGAAGGACAGGAGAATCAGAATGACAATGGAGATGAGGACGAAGGACGAAGGATGAAGATGAAGGAGAAGAAAAAAGAGGGGATAGAGACAAAAGACGGAAGGACGAGGAGAAGAAGAGAAGAAGAGAAGATGAGAAGATGAGAGAAGATGAGAGAGGAAGAGGAAGAAGAAGAAGAGGAGGAAGAGGAGGAAGAGGAGAAAGGGGAAGTGAAGGAAGGGGAGGAAGGGGAGGAAGGGGAAGGGAAGGCAAGGGGCCCATTGGAGCAGATGGATTAGCTAATTAGCTAGGGCTGCCGCTTTGGGCCTAGTGCCAGCGCGGGCAGGGTTGGTTCCAGGCCAGGGCACGTGCTTTCGCAGCCGCTGATTGGTCGCCTGCTCTCCTTTTGGGGTTTAGCGTGGAAATGATGCCCCCTTCCAACCCCGTTGAAACCGCGTGATCTACGTATTCTTCGTGTATGGGTCGTACCGCCGCGTACGGGCCCTCGTTGTTGCCCGCGGTCACCGCCAGACCAACCTCCCGGACACCGCCCGGAAGCGCCCAAACACCGCCAAACAAACTGCCGACAAGGACAGTCCCGTCGCCTGCATTTGATAATTAGCGACGGTTGGCAACTAACGTCTTTGAGCACGTATTGCCCAGGACTGTATTTTATTCTCTGGTAACTCTCGCCGGAGCCCACTGGCTCCTTGAAACATCCTCCCCATATCGTCTCATCGTCAGCCTTCTGAGCCGTCTCCGGCAACCTTCGTATGGATATGGATGGCTCTGATATCATCATCCATGTTTCTCTACACATCCCCTACAACGTCTAGCCAATCTACAGACTCGCAGTGGCATGCTCGATAATTTACTTCATCCCTGTGCAGTGAACCACGCTCCAATACCCGATCGATAACCACCGACCGTCCAACTCCCAAGAAAGCAAAACAGCCAACCTCCATGTTCGGCGCTTCCAGTGACTGCCCCCACGAATCACAGCTCCCGTCACCCCCCTGACAGCTCACACAGTGCTCACACCCTTGGAATCTTTCACACCCTCGCACACAACGACCATTGAACTGGGCCCAAGGCGGCCAAGCTCGACCTGCAGGCTACAGGCTGTTCGCTGCAGGTTTGTCCTCTATATTCCCCTTCTCGGATCCTCAGATCCTGAATGGTTGGGATGATCCAGAATACAGCGGCGATTTAGCAATTGAGGATCCATGGTTTGCTACTCACCGGACACCTGGCTCCAGTGCTGACGGGAGGGCAGCCAAGCTTGATTTTCATATGGTTCTTGGCCTAATCCAGCCCTGTAACTAGCCTTGTCGCCTTGTCGCCTTGTCGCCTGCATCTATTGGATTCATGCCTGCATCTTCCTTTAACTCTGGCGCTATTTCTATTTTTGTTTTCTCCAGGCTTTTGGCTTGGATTATGATGTTGATATGATGGTTGCTTTTTTCCCCCCCTTCAGAGGAGTCCAAATAATGCCTGGAACCACGCGACATCAGCGACATCGGTTATTTACTATTATTTTCAGATTTTCACGCGTATTACAGAGCTGCTCTAACCTCTCTGATATACTATTACTACCCCACTTCACCATTACCAGCAAATAATAAAACACATTCCCACAACTCCGTTTCACAAATCACACAAAAACCCAGACAGACCATCCCTCAACAGCTTGAATCCCACCCAATAACATGCATCCAATCTTCCATACACCATACCATGTACATACGTACACCTCTTCAGCATACGGGGGAAGAAGAGACGCCAGCCTCGGAATCAAACCATGACACTCTACGCTAGCACCCCTCGATCGATGCCCTCCCGAGGCTATCTTCTTTCGACGACAGCATGCCACGATGCAATCGAGTCTTACACGACTAGTTACGCTCGAATAGATGCAGTCAGTCGTCGGACAATATCATACCATGCATACTTTGATATCATAGCTCCTTCATATAGCGTCATTCCCAGGACTCGGGGTTTGAAAATATAGTCACCACGGAGTCCATCCTTTGATCATATCTGACGTTGTTGCTATGCAGATTAGTTTGATTATAAGAGAACCTATGTATGTACATGTAATACATACATTATATTACTTGGAAACACACCTCACACACACACACACACACACTCACTCACTCACTCACTCACTCACTCACTCACTCACTCACTCACTCACTCACTCACTCACTCACTCACCCACTCTCTCTCACTCACTCTCTCTCCTGTTCTCGACCATTCGACAAGATCTTTTCCACGTAGATGTGGATAGCTACATATTGGCGAAACGAGTCGCAATTTTTATTGTAGTTTTTCCCAAGCTAGAGCCGCTGAAGCTCTCCCCAAAAGACGGGAAAAGAAATTTATTTCATATAGTAACTCTATAACCGGGATTCTTCTAACTACAGGGGTGATATACTTCAAGAACTCATTCTTGATTCTTACATCTTCCCCATGCTGCTGAAGAACAGCCACCCCAATATGGCAATTCCCTTTTGAATAAAATAAACGGCACCTCGCGGTCCGTTGGAATTCGAACTGGGGTAAAGTTGGCCCGGCTTTAGGTTCGAAATTCGCGCGGCTGGAGACCTGCAGGGGGTTGGTTGGTAGAATAATAACAACAAGTCTGGCATATGTGTCGTCGGTTCAACAGGCCGTGAATACCCAAAAAGGGGTGTGTGTATGATTCTTGCAGCTGGAATTCCACTGCTTTTCAATTTATTAACCACCTTTACTTTTTATTTATTATTACTATTATTATTGTTGTTTTCATCAGAAATGCTCATGGTAATTTCCAGTTTCTCAGCAGGACTAACGGGGACCGCGAGCTGTGCTGTTGATATTGGTCTGGCGGCATGGCGATTGGATATGCAATGGAAAGCACTGGCTGAGCGGGCAAACTGCATCTGTAAAGCAAAGGCAAAACGGCATCGAGATATTTCATTCATTGGGTCCACACGTCTTAGTGGAAATAACCAGAATGTATTTATGTATGCGCAACATTTACACCCTGCATCCTAACACGAACGGGGTAATTTGAGATGGATATGTCGAATCGATCGAAGAGATAACTGCTCTCTTGTAAGTGTAAGTGAGAAACGCAGGGCAAAGGCTGCGAGGAAGGGAGAAGAGATAGAAGAGGGGCAAACGGGTGGGGAGGGATGGGAGTGAGAGTCAAGTCATCTTAGCAACCACAGCTGAATTTCCCCTTGATACACGACAGGACAGGTCCCGCCTACCATGGTGGCCATCTGTATGTAGGCTTTCAAGATCCTGTGCCGTAGGGGAGTGTTCATCTCACAAGCAGCCAATCATCCTCAATAGAAAAGTTGATTGGAAGGGTTGGAGAAAAGGAGAGTGTTTTAAGAGAAATGAACGTTATATTGTCCTCCCCACTATCATTGCCCCTGGCTATCACTTCCCGCCTCTCCCAATATCCCTAGAGGATTGTAATGTAATCTACAGAGGAACGAACGAAAATATTATGAGGAATAGTGCACACGTGTATAGAGAGAGATAACGACTCGCAGGCCTAGCTAACCAGCTTAGATTTGGTCATACGAGAAGGACCTCGCTCATGGACCAAAAAAGGGATAGTGAAGCAGACCAGAGAGGATGAAATAATAATAATAATAAGGATAAAAAAAACAGATATAAAAACAAAGAACGCCACTTTGCCATACAGGGGTTACGTGAGAATGCATCCTGACCACTAACCGCTGCCGCGAGTCAGAGGAGACTTGCTGAGCAGGAAAATGAAAATAAGAACAGAGAAGGAAGATGAGAAGAGAAAGAGAAACACCAAACATTAACAAACATGGCAGTTCCGTTAAAACGAATAGTTGAAATGGCAGTGTCCAAAGATCAGATGGGAAATTGGGAAATGTGTGTTGGTGTGCGTGCGTTGGCGAACCCCTGATTTGACGAGGGAGGCGAGAAACGTGGATGAAATTTGCATAAAACACCTCGAATTAAAAAAACATACAATACACAACCCAACGCGACGGAAATGCAGGTGGCAGGGTTTTCAATAAGGCAAATACAAAAATATGTACATCTCACCCTATTGTCAGTCTCGAAATCGAAACTAGGTGGGTATGGTCACCGAAAAAAAAAAAAAAAAAAACAGCGATAAAGAGAAGAGAGAGAAATAAGAAAAAGGTCAAAACGATCATAACAACCAGAATCAGCTCGGAATAGCTCTCTCATCCATGCCCCGCGTCATAGACATCGACATGGACGTCGACACAGAGTCACGCTGGCCTGCAAATTCTTGTCGTTGTTGCTGCTGCTCGTACTCCTCCCCATTCAACCCACCAACGTCACCATCACCCAACAGCGGAAAATCTTCCCCCTTCTTCTGGTTCACCCTGTCAAATTCCAGCGCATTAGCAAGCTCACTTGACATTGGATCTAGCTCCTCCTCCGGCAAACCCGTGGCAAGTGAGACGAGCTTGCGATGGACGCCGAGCTTCGTGCTCACGCCCGCATCGGCTTTTTGCTGTATGAGATCCTGTATAGCTTGTTGGCGGGTTTGTTGGGCGTTGGCCAGCTGGCGGGCGAGATGGTAGATTCCGGTTAGCTCTTGCGATGTTTTCTTTTTGGTGGTTGTGGTTGGGGATTTCTCTATGTTGGAATTTGTGTTTGCAGGGTGATTGGGATCTGCATTGGCTTCGACGCCCAGTCCGACTCCCGCTTCTTGAAAACGTTTGAGGAGCCGTAGCCGTTGTGTTTGTTCGAGGAGTGCTTCGTAATCTAGTTTCACTCTGTTAAAACGGTCGAGTTGTGCTTCGAGATCTTCAGCGTCACTCTCCATTGCCAGAGAAGCTAATTGTTTCCTGATATTTTCTCGATCGGATTCGACATGTTCGTATAACCCTTGAGGGTTGGTGAAGTCCTCAGTAGCTTGAGGAGGCCATCTTGCCTCGCCATAAGCTAAAGCAAGTTTCCTAGTAGTCTCCTCCACTATGGATCCTATTCTCGATAAGAGCAATGCGGTAGCGTCAGAGCCAGTAGTGGCCGGTCGGGAAACGGCTATGGTTTCAGAAACATGATTTAACTCGGGATGGTCCAGATCGACAACGCTCTGCGGAGTGACAGAGGATGGAGGGAGCGAGGTATCGTTCTGGCGACGTGAAATAGTTCGAAGGACAGCATGGGCACTCTCTCCGGCCTTGTTCTTGATATCTCCAGCTTCGGGACACTGCGATAAAAGCATGGTAGCAAGACGGTAGCATCCATTTTTTGCTGCTGCCAACGCAGCAGTATCTCCATTTGAATCTTGGGAAGAGAGGAGTAGAGATATTTGATGAGGTGGTAGAATATCATTCAGTTTTTCCATCAGTGTTTGGCAATAATATCGCGAGCTCTTCCACTTGCCCTTGCTCCTTGTTGTTGCAGCCAGATGGTTGAAAACAGTTGCGCCAAACCAGTCTCTGAAGGTGATCGTGTCTTGGAGAAGGTCCGCTAACTCCTGCATGGTCCCCTTTTCGTAATTATTCGTAAACAACACAGCACGTACCAGTGGAGTCTCGTCATGGTTGGACAATGCCTTTATATTTGCGCCACGGTTTATTAGATCTCGAACGATATCTATGTCGCCCATTGAGCACGCCCAATGGAGAGCTGTGTTTCCATGGTCATCAATGGGCCGATCAACTTGAAAATTAGGCGGGGGTTCTGGAGGTAATATCCTAGTCGCAGCAGGGGCATCCCCTACAGTCATGAAGTAGTCCAAAAGCTGGTCACCATAGATGATATGCTGCTGTTCAATTATGCTCAGACTGACGTCGTTCAAACCGCGTTTTCGCTTCCGCGACTGAATCGAATGGCGGGACATTGGGACTATATCATCCTCTGCTATCATGGAGGACGACTCGATACTTGCTTGTGCGACTGACTCATCATCACGGAAAGACTGGTTGACAGAAGCAAATTGCTGGTCCTGGCTGAAACTTGATGACGGGGGCATCGCATGTTGTTTCATGGGAGAAAACGACGACTCCTCAGACACAAGTCTCCTAGTTGGCGCAACATTCTTTTGCACTTTTGGTCGCGATGATGCGGCCGTTGTATGCTTGGGGGCTGGTGGAGGGCTTCTATCGCCAGCTACGAAGTCAAAAATCGGCAGGAGTTTATCAAGAATCCTGTTCCGCTCGGCCAGGTTTCGCCCTTCTGCAAGAGGGACCCAAGTTCCTAGCACCCTCATTAGCCCAATCGCTTAGCGGACATGGTGAGCCTGGCATCCCACCCAAGAAGGTATGTAGACGACTTAAAAAAAATACCTTGATACTTTCCATATCCTCCCTGGACCTTTTCGTGAACACCCTTCTGGACTTCCCTTTCAAGAATGCGAGTTCTAGCAGGCTTATCTAGACCAGCCACCTTGAGGATATGGGTCGCATTGATCCAATCGTCCGATCTCCGTCGCATAACATTCTCATCACCGACTTTGAACTCGTAGACCGGGACCTAGAGAGCCAGCCAGCAGGTGTCAGCAGGCATCAGCAGGCATCAGTTACATGCCATCAAATGAGGAAACATGTGGTTGCAAAAAAGCGCCTGGAAACAGAAAGAAACACTCACACTGCTATAGGTAGCAGAGTAGATTTTATTGCCCCACACGTTTGACGCCGCCATGGCGGATGGCGGAGGGACAGTTGGGCGGGGGGTAAGCAACAGAGGGTGAGTGGAGAGACTGTGAGAGAGGGTGAACAGCGAGCGAGTGACCCCCGGACTGCCACCAATTGGAAGCACAGGGTATCAAATGTGAGCGAGCGAGAGACAAAATGATATTCGAAAATAGGAAGGGGAGAGTATAGAAATCGCGCGAACAAAACATGCGGCACAAGAGAGAAGATCCCGGACAGCTGGTGTTGCTCCCGACGGCCGGCGGAGACCCTTAAAACATGGACAGCGGGTGTTGGAGCGTGTCGGAGTGTGCGAGTTGGTTGCGGCTGCGGGCGATGGGGAGACGCGACTTGAGGCTGATTTCTCGCGTAAAGTGGGAAGGGGCGGCTTGGTAACTTCCTCCCTAAAGCAGATTGGGTTGCGGGCCCGGAACAACTGGGCTTCCGGCTGCCGACAATCACCGCCTTGCAGCGCGGACAGTTAACCTAAGAGCGAGATGTGGTTGACTGGAGAGGGAACAATTGGATCTACAACAGACACAGACACAGACACATACATACACCTCCGTTGGTTAATAAATATATACATATATGACAATCGACTCCGTCTCTGCTGGGAGGAAGACAGCCCCTGCAACCATGGCACATGCAGCGGTGGCGACAGATGTCAAACGTGAGTCCCGCTGTTTTGATGGTGTTGATGACTTCCAAGTAGCTACCTCTTATCTTGCTGACCCATTCCGTTATGTCCCCTTCCATCCACGCAGCCGCAACAAGAGAACAAATGGCTGAGGCTCGGTTGCCTCTTGCCTATCGAGATAGCTGTGCGCACCTCCTAATCCCTCTGAACCGGTGTCGATACGAAGAATACTATCTGCCGTGGAAGTGTGAGGTATGGATAAACCTATTTTACACCGCTGCAACATAACGATTTGTCGACTAGTATAGATCTATTAACACGCGGTACTCCATTTGCATACTGACATATATATGTTCAACTGGTGATAGAAGGAGAGACATTCCTACGAAAAGTGCCAGTATGAAGAGTTCAAGTTACGGGTTGCGAAGATGGATGAACTACGGGCTGCCAAGGGCGGTGCCAGAAGCAACTAGACACCAAGACAGGAGGCGGTGCTGGGAGGGAGGGAAAGGTCTGGACTTGCTGTATTTGTTTGTTTTATTTTATTTTATTTTTTCACCTTAGACGGTTGATCCGGTCGGTTTCGGAAAAGACTGCTCTGTTGCATATATTATATAGAAACGGGAGCTTGGTTGTTAGTTTGCTGCTTGTTCAATGCTCCGTGCTCTCTTAAAAAAAACCCGTCATTCTTCACCCTTTTGCACTTCTATGGGCCACATCAGAGGTTCTCATACTCAGCAGTAGAGAGGCATAGGAGCGGTCGGAGTTATCCCAGCTTGTTTGATCTTCAGTGCGGATCCCCTCTGACCGAGTCACCGCGAAGCTGAGTTGCACGATACTAGGAAGGCCAGAACGATTCCACCGCACAGGAATCGGAGCCAAGGATTCAGAGTTATATTATGTTTGCATGGGATGATCCGGCCAAGATTAAACATAGAAAAGAAAAAAAAAAAGAAAAAGAAAAAGAAAAGAAACGGTGCACAAGACTGATTGAGCCACAATGTGCACATATTTTGTTCATTAATAATAGCATCATTATCATTACGAACATCAATGCTACACTTGTATGTGTGATTTATAAGCCGGCAGCGGAGACCATACAGCCCCAAGTCGAATAAGATGGATCTTTCTCCGTTGGATTTATCAGCTTTTGCGCTTGGTTCGGTTGATTGATTTCAATGTCCCGGTGGTGCACTTCATCGGCCCTAATTTCGCCCGCGGGGCCACAATCGTTCATTTCATTCGCTATGCCAGCTGGCTACTCCAAAAAGCGTTCAATTCCAGTCCAGAAATGCAACTTCACAGGCAGAGATAAGTGTGGGGAACATGACGAAGGACGCATATGCTATTCCCTGTTATCCTGTCATCCGTGAAGAGCCCAATTGAATGCCGTAGGGATAGTTCTAGGTTTCGGATTCCGCAAACTGTTCGTTCATGCTTCAATCTCCCTGTGATGTTCTCTGTAAGCCCAACTCGGTTATAATATTTAGGGTCACCTTCGTGGGTTAGGTTCTTTTGCTGAACTAAGTAAGGTAAGTTAACAACATAACTATCTCATGTCGTAGTTATTATCTCTGTTGGTTACCTCACTAATACAGTGAATCACAACAGGGTAAGGCATTTTCAACCCGCCAGTTAATTAGCGTCGCAAACAACAACCGGAAAACAGGAATGAAGAGAGAACTGACACAAAAAAGAACTCATCCCCGTATCCGTTCGAGCAGACCCCCCCCCAACCTATTAAATATATAATGAACTGCTCCAGTAGAGGTGGAGTCTAGAAAACCCCACGGAACACAAAGAAAATATCAATACACGGGTCAATTGCTCATTAGATATACTCGGTCGAACTATTTTCTGGATATATTTAAAGATCGCAGCATCACACAAACAATCCCTTGTTAATCGCATTTCCCTCGTTTTCCTCCATTTACGGGGTGGGTTTGTTCCTATATATAGAGTTGCATCGAGGATCCAGCATTTTTTGCCGCCCGGCGCGAAAGAGGTTTTTTTGTAGGGAAAAATTAAAAATTTAAGAAAAATAAAATAAAATATAATAAAATTAAAAGTAAAAAGATCTCATAACGAATCCCTCCCCTCCTCCGTCCTCCGTACCAAACCCGAGCTTCGTCCTCTTTTACTCCTCATTCTCCTCCTTCGCCTTGAGAGTTTCATCTCTCATACATCATTTCCCATCTCATCTCTGCTCTCATCCCCTTTCTCCCACCATTTCCCCCGAAGAGCTAATTACATGCGACAGTCCCTGTCGTCATGGGCCTGCTGTACGAAAACACCATTCCCACCACCAACAACTTTGGAAAAATAGAACCCTCACTGATGAGATATGTCTCTTGCATAGAGCGCTTGGTACCCCATTGGCCTGGCCGGGGGCGAAGCAGAATGCACAACAGGTCAGGGAATGGGGAATTGAGGTACGGCGCTGTTTTCCATTTTCCAACGTTTGCCAAAAAAGAAATGGCAAAATGGAAAATGAAACTTGGAAAAAGTTATTTTAATAAACTGACCCTCTTCTCCGTCCTAGCAACTGCTGGCTATCTGGGGCAAGGCAAAGGGAAAGGAACGAGATGCGCTGCTCTGGGGTGACGAGGTAAGCCAACCGACCTTCCACGTTCGATATTTATTTCTTTTTTCTTTTTCTTTTTCTTCATTTCCTGCTCGAGCTGCTGCTGACAGTTCACGGGTATCAGATTGAATACCTGGTCGTGGCTGTGGATGAGAAGGCGCAGAAAGTGCGCTTGTCGCTGCGACAGGCGGATATCTTAAATTCGCTCGCGCAGGAAGAAGAGCAGTCGAATGGGCAATTGGTGGAAGGGTTGCAGGTTGGAATGTATGCAAAATCTCTTTAACTCGCCTTCGTTGCGCCGTCTCGTTGTCGTTTGCATAGGCTAACTTGTCTTTTTGTTTCGTGCTCCGCAGAAAGGAACCACTTCCCAAGTTCCACCCGGAGTTTGGACGGTTTATGTTAGAGGCTACACCGGGACAGCCATGGGGGATTGGATTCAAGGACCTCTTGAGAGTGAAGTCGAATATGAAATGGAGGTTCGTGTTTCTTTTTATGCTGCTGCAGCTGCATATTTACGGCCGTACGAATGGCTGACATAAACACACGTCGTAACTATCATGATATAGGCGGGTTATTGCGAAGAAGCATATGGCACCGAATGAATATCCCCTTACCATAACCACATTCCCAAGACTAGGTACGAAGGATGACTTCACCCAGCCATTCTACCCAGTCTCTGGCCCGACTCTCCGTTCTCAATTCGTTCCCGATGAAATAGCAAACCCGCATATCCGTTTCCCCACACTAGCTGCAAATATCCGATCTCGAAGAGGGCGGAAAGTAAAGATCAATGTACCTGTGTTTCGAGACAAGAATACCCCGTGGCCCTTCAACGATCCTACCGTCAACTACGATTTACGCAACTGGCCCGAAGACGACGACGTGCGCAATGGTGCAGTGAAACAAAATCATGTTTATATGGATGCCATGGCGTTTGGCATGGGGAGTTGCTGCTTGCAAATCACTTTTCAGTGTAAAAACATTACGGAGGGAAGAAAGCTCTACGACCAATTGAGTCCCCTGGGGCCGATAATGCTAGCGTTGACTGCTGCTACGCCAATTTACAAGGGTTTTTTGGTTGACACTGACGTTCGGTGGAACCAAATAAGTAATGCTGTGGATTGCCGGACTGCTGAAGAACTGGGAGAAAAGGTATGTAGCCCTTTTAATCTCGGTAGGTTGAAGTCTATCTGCTAATAGAATGAGAACAGCCGCTGAAAAATGACCGTTGGCGCATCCCAAAGTCAAGATATGCCTCAAATTCCACATACATTTCCCAAGATCCCCGATTACGACCCGAATACATGGATCCAGACCTCGTCATAGACGAAGATATTAAAAAGCGACTCCTGGACGGTGGTATGGATGATCTTCTGGCTACACACTTTGCGCACCTCTTTATCCGCGACCCAATCGTAGTCTTTGCCGAAGATCTCAAAAAACTCGACCTCAACAAAACCGACCACTTCGAGAACCTTCAGTCGACAAACTGGCAGCACATCCGCTTCAAGCCTCCGCCAGCTGACAACGACATTGGCTGGCGCGTCGAATTCCGCCCCATGGAGATTCAAATTACTGACTTTGAAAACGCAGCCTTCAGCGTCTTCATGGTGCTGATTACTCGAGCCATTCTCAGCTTCGATCTGAACCTGTACATACCCATCCCGCGCACTACGGAGAATATGGAAACTGCCCATGCGCGCAACGCTCTCCTTGAGCAGAAATTCTACTTCAGAAAGGATCCCTTCCCACACCGCATCCCGCGAAATCAATACCAGCATCAGCATCAGCAGCAACAGCACATCAACCCCAATGCCAATACCAACGGCACAAGCAGCAACGCATCAGAATCTAGCTCCCGCGCCTCTTCGTCCCCTTCAACCCCGCACCTCCGCCCCATAGAATCCGAATACGAACTCATGACTGTCGCAGATATCATCAACGGCACCCAGGACGGGTTTCCCGGGCTAATCCCGCTCGTCGAATCGTATCTCAACAGCGTCAATGTCGATGTAGAAACCCGGTGTCAGCTGGCTACGTATCTGGAGTTCATAAGACGACGCGCAGATGGCAGCCTGTGGACGAATGCGAAGTGGATTCGCGAGTTCGTCGCTAGGCATCCGGATTATAAGCAGGATAGCGTGGTCTCTGAGAAGATCTGCTATGATCTTGTGAAGGCTGTTGAGGAGGTGACGGAGAAGGAGGGGCGGGGCGGGGCTGTTGGATGGGAGATGTTGAAGGGGCGGAAGGGGTGATATCCTCCTCTTCCAACGTTCATTCACCCATTCCCGTCTTTTATTATTCTCATCTTTTTACATAGTTGCTTTCCGGTCGCTTTTCATCTCCGGGATTTCTTGTTAAAAGTTGCGGCTTCTTATGTCACGTTGGACATGGCTTTATTTTGCAGTTTTGATGGGGTTCCTTTTCATCCTGCCCCTGCATTGCCCTATATTTGTCCCCTTCTCTTATGATATAATTTACCTCATAGGGGCGTGAATGTTCTTGATTAGAACTACCTTGGATTTGTGCATTTGTTTCCCAACCAGCTCCTTTTATTTCATTTTGGTCTCTTCCTGCTTGGAAAAAAATATTGTACCTACTACTCGTGCCGCTGCTTACTCACTCACCTCTAGTGAGCGCGCCACACTGGAACGATAAAAACAGCATCATGATAAAAATCAAGAGTTACGTTAAAAAAATAGCTTCGTTCGTCAACAACCAGTAGCTAATCTATAAAAAATAGATGATCTACATCATCTTGTGTAGTTATGTGTCAGCATTTATTCATTTTTCTTACAGCTTCAGAAGGCGCTGAGAGTGCATCATTGTCAATCTTCATTTAGCTTAATTCCCATGCATCTTGTCTTATTCTGCGCTTTTCAACATACCTCCCTCTACACTGAGTGATTCATCTATTTGCATCTTTGATACTGAGACACTTTCTATCTGAATCTGACAGCAAGAGGCTTTGACCTGCAGCATCTATTGACAATCAGATAAATTTCTATTTTAGTTAAATACTATATTATAAAACTTCTCTAAATAAAATTTATAATTATTTATTAAAAATAATTAAAATTTATTTTTAAAATTTTAAATAATATTAATAATAATTAATAAAAAATAAAAAATAAATAAAATTTTATATTATTTTTATTATTTTAATATAATATAATTATTAAAAATAAATTATATAATTATATATATATTATTTAATTATAAATATATAAAAATAAAAATATTAATATATATTTAACTTAAATATTTAAATTTTATTATTTAATAATAATATTTCTATTATAAAAAATAAATTATATAAAAATTAAATATATATTTTATTTTTTATATATAATTTTTAAATATAATTTTAAAATAATTATAATTAATTATTTTTTATTTTAAATTTTTAAAAATTAATAAAATTATATATATTTTATATTTATTAATTTTATTTTTATATTTTTACTTTTTTTAATTTATATATAAAATTATATTTTATAATATAAATAATATTTTTAATTTTTTATAATTATTATAAATAATAATAAAATTTTTAATTTATTTATTTATTTTTTAAAAAATTTATCATTTTTATATAAGGTTATAATAATTAATAATTATTAAATTAAAAAATAAGTAAAATTCTTTATTATTTCTATCATTTTACTTTTTTCATTAAAAAATAGATGATATAAAGAGCTATGCTTTAACTCTCATAATACTTGTGTTTCATTTTCATTCTATTGAAGTAGCATCATTGAGACAGTGCTATTGAGACAGCGCTTACACTCTATTCATATAATGTAACGTGCTAGTTGCTGAGAACAGCTGATAACTAACACATATGAAAACAAAAAGAAATCGTTAAAGAAGGAAAAAGAAAGACAAATCATGTAGGGATCAGGCTTTCTTTCTAACGGGCAGAGCTTCGGTAGTAAGGGGCTTCGTATGAGGATGATTGAGGAAACACCTCAGAAGTAGAGCACCACCTCAGTTGTAGAGGCACGAAGGCGGAGCTTCGGTAGTTAGGGACTTACATGAATGATTTAGGCATTGCCTCAGTGGTAGAGGCGCCGCCTCAGTAGAATACAAATAAGGTGGAGGCGCTGCCTTGATAGCGCCACTCTGATAGCGCCACTCTGATAGCGCCACTCTGATAGCGCTGCTTCAATCATACGAAGGCAGAGCCTGAGTATCATAAGGGTTAGGGCATAGCTATAATATCCGCCCCTATTCGTTGGATTGTCAGCGTCTTCAGTGGCGGCGGATGGGGGTCGGCAGAGGCGGGCTGCTTCATACGCGGTGAGTACGGTGGTGTCTTCTAGCGCGAACCTGGGTTCGCAGGTCAGTTGGGCGTAGCCGGTTCATTTCACAAGTAGTTCCTGGCGGTGGTGGTTCATTCGTTCATTGCGGATTTCTTCTATTTCATATTCAAGCTCATTGTTTTCAGTGAGTAGACCTGGCGGCTGCCAATCGTTCCACTTTTGTGAGGGTAGTGGGTCAGTGGCAGCTCGTTGAAGGAGGTTCGTATGAAAGACATCATGGATGCCAGGTGTGTCTAGACGGTAGTTATGGCTGCCTAAGACTTCAAGAACTGTGTATTTTGCATGACGGACGTCTCGGGAAGCGGAGGGCCGGTCAGTTTGTATATTCTCAAGGATTAACCAGAATTTGTCCCCGACATTGAACTGTTCAGCAGGCTGTCAGTCCTTGTTGGCCTGTTTCTCTTGCTCTTGCTGAGCATTGGCCATCACAGCTTCTGCCCATTCGCGAGCTTCTCGAAGCTTATGAACGATCGAGTCGGCCACCTGTATCGGGCTCCGAGGGTTCTCGTGGTATTGCGTCTGCTCAAGGATATCAAGAACCTCCAAATTGTAACCGTGTGAGAAGAGGAAGGGGCATAATCCATGTTTAGAGAAAGGAAATTCTTGGGCACTCAGGCCTTATACATTGGACGAAGGCACTCGGGCCTTACATGCTGGGACACATCGCATTAACAGTCATCTTTTCCTCAAAAGTTCTCCAGTCCTTCTGCGTTTACTCTTGTCAGTGATTTTGGGCGAGAGTTCCTCTTTTCCCTGCTCTGAATGAGTGCCTTCAATCCTATTTTCTTGAGGGTCCTTGGGGGCTTCCTGAGCTGAGGTGCAGCTATCATGGACAGAGCGCTTGACAGGGATGAATGAGTTAGTGTAGCGTGAGGCAATGTGCCCAGGCTTCGCGCAGTTGATGCATACTCCCTGAGCACGTCTTTCTGCGGCGTCAGCACCGGTGATCCCAGAGATTCTGAAAGGCTTCGCGGTAGTGGGAGGCCAGATATGTCGTGCTGGGTTGCCAGTCCATGGCATCAGCGGACGCAGTGGTAGTACGGAGGGCAGTTGAGCTGAACCTCTGGCCACAGTTCTGAATGGCCTTTACCTGGAGAAGTTTATTCTCGATCATCCGGAGGTTGGTGTAATACTCTATGTAGTTGTCTGTGTCGGCCTGCGAGACCATTTCCTTTAGAAGATCCAAGTTGAGAGCTTTCTAAAGCATGCCGATCTTGATTTCGTCATCCCAAAACTGTCCTTTGGCTTCTAGGATCTTCTGGTCAAAGGTTGGGAGGATGGTTGCAAAAGAAAGACAGGCCTGGTCATCAAGAGAGCCAATATCTCTGCCGTTTACGCGGAGTTTGGCCATGGCGTTGAGCCGCCAGGCGGGGTATTGGACCAGATCAGTCCCATCAAAGGTTTCAAGTGGAGTGAGCTTCTCCTTCAGACATTTCTGCTTAGGGTGGAGGGGAGTGCTGTTAGATGGTTGAGTGGTGTCCATGACAGGTGTACTGGTAGCAGCAGCCAGCTGAGCTCTTAGGTCTCAGAGCTCAATTCAAAAGGCCTCCTCTCGTGAAGCCTGTTGCTGGTTTCGCAGGGTTTGCTGCTGGAGGAGTTCTTGAAGCCAGGCAGGTGCACCTGCTGAGGAATCTTCACGTCCCATGCTTAGGTCCATGATCGAGTTGTAGAATTCTTCAATCACTAGTGATAGAGATATCAGCGGTAAATTGCATAAACTGAGGTCGCCAGGGTCTTCAGACCTTTCGCTGGCTTGACACCTCCTGTGGCTGATTGTAGAGATGCATTGAATCTCTTCGTCCGTGAGCAGCCCTATACCGTGTGTAGGGGCTTCAGTAGAGCTAGCTTCCTAAGTCTCGAATCGCTGTTTTCCTCTCCTATGACAGGAAGAATGAATAAATTGAATGATTCCTAATGTAATGAGCTAGTTGCTGAGAACAGCTGATAACTAACGCGTATGAAAACAAAAAGAAATTGTTAAAGAAGGAAAATGAAAGACAGATCATGTGGAGATCAGGCTTTCTTTCTAAAGGACAGAGCTTCAGTAGTAAGGGGCTTCGTATGAGGATGATTGAGGAAACACCTCAGTAGTAGAGCACCACCTCAGCAGTAACTAGAGGTACGAAGGCGGAGCTTCAGTATTAGTTAGGGACATATACAGGGATGATTGAGGAGGCATTGCCTCGGTGGTAGAGGCGCCGCCTCAGTAGAATACGAATAAGGTGGAGGCGCTGCCTTGATAGCGCCGCTCTGACAACGCTGCTTCGATTGTACGAAGGCAGAGCCGAGAATCATGAGGGTTAGGGCATAGCCCTTTATATATATAAGCTTCTAACTACTGAAGCTTCGCTCTCATGTCTCTATGCTGAGACAGCACCTCTTCTACTAAAGCGGTTGCTTCAATCATTCTTATATAAATCTTTAACTACTGAAGTTTCACCCTTATGTCTCTACTACTGAGATAGTGTCTTAATCATTCTCAAATAAGCCTTTTACTACTGAAGCTGCTTTTCATAAAGAAAGTAAAATCTTTAAATGATCTGTTTCCTTGTTCTTGTTTAATAATAACTTTTTGTTTTCATATATGTTAGTTGTTAATTGTTCTCAGTGACTAGTTTTTTATATTAGAAATTGTTCATATTCATCTATTTCTTCTGTCATAGAAGAAAATAGTAATTTAAAACTTAAAAAACTACCTCTATTAAAGCTTTACATATGATTTAGAACTGCTCACAGATGAAGAGATTTAATTCAACTTTACAATCAGTTACAGAAAATGCTGAGACAGTGAAAAATTTAAAGATTTTGATAATCTCAGCTTATATGATTTACCGCTAATATCTCTATTACTAGTGATAAATAATTTCATAGCTCAATTATAAATTTTAATATAAAACATAAAAATATCCTAATACTTACATATATATATATATGTATTTTCAAGAACTTTTTCAGCAACAGATTCTATAAAATCAGCAATAAACTTCACAAGAACTTTTTTAAATTGAATTTTAAGATTTAATAACTCAACTGATTGCTGTTATTTGTATATTTTAAATTATATTTATTGATTAAATTTACAAAATAGTTTAAAATCTAGTTTGACTAATTAGATATTATAATCTTTAATTATATATATCTAAAATAAATAAATAAATAAATATACTGATAATAATAATAATAATAATAATTTTTATAAATACTTTTTTATTATTTAATAATATTTTTTTTTATTTTAAAAAAATATTTGAAGAAAAATTTTATTTTAATTAAAATTTTTAATAAAATTAATTTGATTTGATATTTTATATTATGATTTTAATATTAAAATCAAGCTTTATATATACAATAAAACTAATATTTTTTTTTAAATAATCAAATTTATTATAATTATATTTAATTATTTTTATAAAGTTAAAATAATTAAGTTTTATTTATGAATAAATATAATTAATATTATCTCTCTCAATATAATAATTATTTTTAATCAATTAAATATTTTATTAATTCTATCTTTACTATAAAACTTCTAGTTGATTTTAAAATATTTATTAATATTTCTATCTCTTATAATCTTTATTTTAATTTTTAATTAAACGATTTTAAAAGTTAAAAAAATAATTCTAAAATAATAAAATTAAAATTAATATATTTTAAAAAACTTTTAACTTAAAACTTTTAAGAAAAATAATTTTATAAATTAATATAAATAACTATATAAAATATTTTATTAATCTTTATATAATTAAAAATAAACTTTTTAGATAAAAATTATTTAAAATAATAATTAAAAATTTATTTCAATTATTATTTTAATTATTATTTTATTTATTAATATTATAAACTGATAAATTAATATAGTATATTTTATATCTCATATTATAGTTTTTATTATCATAAAATTTTTTATAGTTTTTAAAGTATTTGATATTAATATTATAAAAAAATATATTTAAAAAATATATTTTAATTATATAAAATTTAAATATATTATTTTTCACTATATTAACTTATTTTTATTAAATACTCTATTTACATTAATTATATTTTAGTTTAAAATTTTATTAGAGTTAATTTAAGAACTTTTAATATAATTAAATTGAAAATACTTATTTTAAATAGAAAAAGTACTTTCTATTTAAAATTATTAATAAAAGTTAATATAGAAAAATTAAAAATTTTTAAAAAATAATTATTAATATAATATATATTTATATAATTATAGATAATCTATATAATATAAAAATTATAATAAATAATAACATATTGATATATTATAATATATTTTAAAAAATTTTTTAATTTAATTTATAGTATATTTTTTATAGTATTTATATATAATATAAGATTTTATTAATCTTAATACTAAATATTATACTTATATAGTTAAGTTTAATATCATATATAAAATTATCAATATATTATTATATCTATAAAGTATAAAATTTATTTTATAATATAAAGTTTAAACTTATATATTTTAAGATTAAAAATACTTTATTTAATATAAAATATCACTGTATTAGATTCTTTTTTAACAATAGTAATTGTAAGTTTAATAGAATTAAAGTAAT